AGTTTATGGTCACCTCAAGTACCGTGGACCTACAGTATGTGTTTTTGTAATCTTGTATGTTAAGTTACGTAATACCTAATATCTCTAATAAGAAAACCTGTTATAAAAGAATCATGATGGCTGCAATTGCTGTTCACTCCTTATAAAAATGTGAGTTGCCCGGCTGTCATTCTGAACCTCTGGCATTAATAGTTATGCATGTTTGAAATATCTCAATTTACAAGCTTCAAACTGTCTCCTTCTGTTGTGGTGTGGATACGCAGTGGCGTATCCACACCACTAGGGTTGATGTCACCCGGTGAGATAAAACATGGTGCCACCCCCCCCCAATCTCCAGCAGGACAGGCCGTAGGGCACTGAGCAGGCTAGAGTATTGCCACTGCTCTCCCCAATTCATGTCTTCAGTGACCCAATAACTGTTCTCAGGCCCTCATTATTGTCCTCAGTCCCCCCCCAATAATGTCCTCGGTGTCCCCATTACTGTCCTCAGTCCCCCCATTAATGTTCTCAGTGACCAGATTACTGTCTTCAGTTCCCCCCATTACTGTCCTCAGTCTGCCTCACAACGTCCCATTACTCTCTTCAGATCTCCCCCACATTGCACCCCCCTCCTGTCTTACCTTACACAGACAGTGCGGAGGGCTGAAGACACAATCACTTGCTGTTATACCTCGAGCAGCACCACCCACTGTCCAGAGCTGTCCTGCCCCCCGCAGACAGATCTCTGAGAGACTGACAGCGGCAGCTCATAAATGGCGGGACCGATGTCACCCCTTTTGGTGGTGTCACCTGGGTGTGATCTGTACCTTCTGCACACCCTGTGGACATGGCAGTTGCTGGTCCCCAGAGCCGGTTAAGACTCTGCACTGTATAGGGATAAAAAGGATGCAGGCAGTTAGTATCACTTCCTTCTGCAAGTTTTATTGCACAAACAGAAGATCTTGCACATTTTCACCTGAAAGACCACCCATTCAATACATTTCACCCTTCTGGGCTTAGTAATAAAAAAAAAGACTAATACTGTAAAGGTGAAATGTGTTAGGGGCCATTGCTAGATTACAAAATAGGCAAAGTAGGCACCAGCCTATGAACCCCATGCTGTTTAAGAGCCCCACGCCAATGGATCAAAATAATACTGAATTGAATTTGGAAAAAATTACAATGAAGCTTCCTTTATCTATTGTTTAGATAGATGGAAAAAATAAATCAGCTTAAAGAAACGAAAATTAAAGACTCTATAGAGAAAATACTGTATTATTGTAATGTACTCAATAACAACATTAAGTACATAAACCATAGATGTCAGGGTCACATTACAGTTTGTCTCCTAAAAGCTAATCTTCTTTCAGATGTCATTCTATAAAAAATTTTGGTGCAAAATACGTTTGTGTAATGTACAGTAGTGATGGTCATTTCCATCTAGCGGTCAACATGCACACTAATTAGTGCAATGTTATCCCACTACAGCGCACGCAGGAAAAACCTCCAGAAACCTGCAAGGGAGACCCCAAGTTTTCGACTTCCTACTGGCATCCACTGAGCTTATTCTGGTTAGAGGGGTGGTCCTTCAGATGGAGGAATGCAAGATATATTGTTTGTGCAATAAAGCTTGTTGAATTAAGTAATTTTTGGTTTCACTAGTTTAAATCAATGACCTGGAACAAATATTCAGATATGGACTTCCTCTAACTTTCTTGATCTGCATACTTGTTGGGTCTGTGATTTAGTGGGTGAACAGCTTGGCAAGTAACATTTTCAGAAAGAGAGGTCAGTCATGGCCTGACCCATATTTCTCTCTTAACTAGTTTAAAGTACATTTCTAGGCAGGCTATAGTTACACACTTTTTCCAACTTCTTTCCATGTACCTCTACAAATAAACAGTTTACATATAACCATCATAAAGTATATACAAATCTTCTGATTTTGCAGTAAAGGCACCAATAGTCGTGTATAGGTAAAATTTAACCTATAATCAGGCAAGCTAATATTTTAGATGCATTTTGTGTAAAACTAGTCAGCTATGAACTACATTTCACTGACAGTATGCATTCTGCAGTTGCTTTTTTTGCTTAGACCTATTTTGTCATCCACTCTGTATGGCTACAACACTGTCACCATGGTATGAGAGGCACAAGTTATCTCTGGCAATTTTACTGTTCCTAGAGCTGGTCTCGTCATGATGACCTTACCAGTGATCACTAGCAGAACTTTGCAAGATATGGTTCAGTTTATGTATAACTCCTAATAGGCACCTGTTCTGCTAGCAGAATGGAGGGTGCCTAGGCACTGTCTTATTTCTGGAATTGCTGCTTCTAATAAGGAGTTGTGTGTTAAAAGTACACTTTTTATACTTATTGCTGTAACACATTAAATTGTGCTAATCAATCCATGTTAGACAGTCCAATTGTTCAAAATTTGAAGTATAGGTCTACTTTAAACAACTTCATCCAACAGTTTACATCAAGCAGGGCACAGTTAGAATATCTGTCAGTTTGGATAGCCATCTATGTCACTAGTGGACAAATTTCCCTTCCTGACAGGACAGAAATTAACCAGAAATCACTGAAATGGGAACACAGAGAAATACAAAAAACTTTTTTAGTAGAGTGAGAAAGCACTGAAAGTTTTGACAGTCTTTGTATAAGTGCCCATGTCCTCCAGGCCTGTGTAGATAACTACACCCCCTTGTATGAGGCTCACAGTTGAAGGAAAATCTCCCCGTGGGGCCACACAGAAGTGAAAAAAAAATGACGTGTACAAGTCCAATACACGTACAGGAAAAAATTGGTTTTATTGCGCACTGTAAAATCCTTTTCTTGGAGTCCATTGAAAGACACAAATATGGATACTAAGGAACCAAAGGTTATACTGCCACCCACAGGAAAAATGGACACAGAAACTGAAGGCCAGCCCCCTAGAGGCTCTAACCTTTCCCACCTCAATCCTTCCCAGTTGTAACAAGCATTCCAATAGCATAGGAAAGGAGTGGAAAGGGTGTCACCTTAATAGACTATGAGTAAAGGATTTTAGAGTGAGTGCAAAAATGTTCCCTATTGTCCATTAATGGAGATTCCTTTATGGATGATAAGCAAAAAAGGATGGCATAAACAAATGCTTGCAGAATGTTTTTGGGTGAAACTATCATCTGAAGAGGTAGATGCATCAACTTTGCAAATGATGAAAAGTCAGAGAAAGATTCATTGTTCTAGTGACTCTAAGGCTGAAAGTAGTGACATCCAGAAAATAGAGAGAGATTTCCTTGGGCTGAACCAGTTCTAGACACAGGGAGATTAGCATTATATGTTTTAGTAACAGTAGCAGAGCCAAAAGGGGAAGTTCTGCTTCAAGGCCTCCTCCCCCACTCCTGTTTGTGAAATGGAGAGTTTAGGGAAGGAGGGGGGAACAGGTACCTGATTAGGACACCTGCTCCCTCCAACTGCCTAGGCGATCGCAAGTGGAAGTTCTCCTCCCCCCACCCTCTCCCAGTCTTCTGATACACATGACAGGTCCCAGATGACTGTGGGATCATTCACAGTGTGCAGCACCACTCACACAAGCGCAGGGGGCACCCGGTGGTGAATCCAGAAGCTCTCTTAGCTGGATGCCCATAGTAAAAATGCCAGCGCCGGGGAGAGAGCACACAAAATGAAAACGGCTGGGCCGAGCACAGTGCTGGATCGTGGGATAATTGAGTGGCTGTTTATTAAAAGTCAGCAGCTACAGTTTTTGTAGCTGCTGACTTGTAACTTTTACACAGGAGACTGGAGCTCCATTTTAAGTAAAAAGAAGGTCCTTGGTTTCAAAACAACCTTGTCTTTGTGTAAAATAATATGAGACCTGTTATAGGATGATTCTGATAACTCGAGACATTCTTTTAGGAGTAGCGATGACCATAAAAAAAGCTACCTCAGGGGATGTCAAGAAAATGTCATAAATCCGTTCAAATGGGTCTTTTTAACACCAGCAATACTAGGTTAGAATGGGGGCGGAATGTATGGCTTAGTAGCAAGAATACATTGGCATAGAATAGATAGGCCAGACCCTGACACCTTGATGGTAGTAAGAGCTAAATATTGTTCTGCTATTAACTTGAAGAAAAAAAAAATGTTCAGCCCACTGTAAAAGCAGGTGGGGAAGCCTCCAAAGTCTGACACCAGAAAAATATGGTGGACAGGAAGGAGGCATCAATTCTCTAGTAGACACTTAGGGATCGATTTACTAAAACTGGAGAGTGCAAAGTCTGGTGCACCTTGATAGCCCGAAGATTGACTTCACACATCTGCATAGAAACCAATCGGCTTCCAGGTTTTTTTTTTGTAATTGAACAAGCTGAAGTTAGAATCTGATTGGTTACCATACACAGCTGCACCAGATTTTGCACACTCCAGTTTTAGTAAATCAACCCATTAGAGTAATTGGGCAGGTGTGAGGTGGCAGTGGTTAGAGCCTTTAAGAGTTTGGCCTTCAGTTGTGTAGTGTCAGTTTCTCCTGTATGCAGCAGTACAATCCTTGGTTGCTTATTAACTAGTTGCCAACCGCAGATAGCCGAATGACGGCTGCACTGCGGCCGGCCAGTTCTGGGTGGACGTCGTATGACGTCCTCCCAGAACGCGCTCTCCTGGGGCGCGCACCTGGCGATCTCCGTGATCGCTGTGTCCTACAGACACAGCTGATCACGTGATGTGGTAAAAGGCCAATCACAGCGGCCTTTTACCACGTGATCAGCGGTGTCCAATGACACGCTGATCACAGGGAAATGCAAGTGCCGGTTCTCGGCTGCACTTTCCTCACGCTGTCAGATCGTGAGGAAAGTACTGCCGAGAACCGGCAGTTGCCAGAGCGAGGATCGGCACCGATCATCAGGGCACTGATGATTAGTGCCCTGATGATCGTTGCCCAGCAGTGCCACCCACAAGTTCCGCCCACCTGTGCCCAGCAGTGCGCCCACTAGCTCCGCCCACCTGTGCCCAGCAGATCACCCACCTGTGCCCAGCAGTGCACCCACCTGTGCCACTCTGCAGTGTCACACACCTGTGCCCAGAAGTGCCACCTACCTGTGCCCAGCAGTGCCACCCATCTGTGCCCACCCACCTATGCCCACCCACCAGTGCCACCCACCAGTGCACCCACCAGTGCAGCCCAGCAGTGCTGCCAGTCAGTGCACCAGTCAGTGCCCAGCGGTTGTGCCAGTCAGTGCCGCCAGTCAGTGCCCAGCAGTGATGCCAGTCAGTGCCGTCTATCAGTACCCATCTTCAGTGTCACCTATCAGTGCCGCATATTAGTGTGCATATTAGTGCCTATCCGTGACACCTCATTAGTGCTGCCTATCAGTGCCGCCTATCCATGCCACCTCATTAGTACTGCCTATCAGTGCCCTTTAGTGCTGCCTATCAGTGCCCATCAGTGCCGCCTATCAGTGTTGCCTCATCAACGCACATCAGTGAAGGAGAAAAATTACCTGTTTGAAAATTTTTATAATAGAAACAAAGAAACTTTTTTTTTTTTCAAATTTTTTGCAATTTTTTTATTTATAGCGCAAAAAGTAAAGCGCCCAGTGGCGATTAAATACCACCAAAAGAAAGCTCTATTTGTGAGAAAAAAATGATCAAAATTTCATATGGGTACAATGTTGCATGACCGCGCAATTGTCAATAAAAGTGCGGCAGCGCTGAAAGCTGAAAATTGGCCTGGTAAATAAGGGGGTATAAGTGCCTGGTAGGCAAGTGGTTAACCATTAAAGTGGTTGTAAAGGATGAAGGTTTTTTACCTTCATATATTCTATGCATGAAGGTAAAAAACCTTCTATGTACAGCAGCTCCCCCAACCCCCTCATTATTTACCTGAGCCTCATCGCGATCCAGCTATGTGAATGACAACCTCGGCTCCCCGAGGTCTCCGCCTCCTCATTGGCTGAGACAGCAAGTAGCAGCCATTGGCTCACACTGCTGTTAATCACAGCCAGTCAGCCAATAAGGAGACGGAAGGGGCAGGGCCAAACTATGGCTCAGTGTGTGAATGGACTCACGGAGCAGTGCATACCCCCATAGCAAGCTGCTTGCTGTGGGGGCACCCAACAGACAGGAGGAGCCAGGAGAGCCTGCGGGGGACCCGAAAAGAGGAGAATCTAGGCTTTGCTGTGCAAAACCACTGCACACAGCAGGTAAGTATAACATGTTTGTTATTTTACAAAAAAAAAAAAATGAACCTTTAAAATCGCTTAAAGCTGTGTCCCTCAATGAAGGATAGAAGAAAAAATAGAAATGAAGAACAGTGTTTACTTGCCACACTTACCCACTGGCCACACTAGTTAGTTTATAGTTGGATATGTATGCAAGATATGGTCACCTTAAATGTCTTCTGTACCCATTTCTGTCCTTAAAAGCACAAGTTTGTTCATGTAAGTTCTCTTACTTAGGCAATGGAGGAATGTTATCAGAAGAAGGCAAATTCAGACAGTTCCAATGCTGAGTTATCTTGGGAAAGCAATATTTTATATCCTGTCTGATCATATTCTCCCTGGTGGTTCCTTGCTGCTTCCACTTAAACATTTTATTATTTAACTGCTAGATCAGGAGACTATTATCTACTGTTTATGGCCACCTCAAATCTTTCAGCACTGCCTATATGCAGATATACCTATTTTACAGACAGGAGACTTAATATTTGCACATGAAAGAATGGTAAGCATAGACAGTGATGTCTACCTGCCACTATGTAATTGTTTTATTGCATTGCTTTTCAGATAGATTTCACATCTTATCTGTGTTTTTCCTTCTTTGAAAGGCTTGCATGTGAAAGCATTGTTCCCGCTTTTTATGAACAATTTCAGCTGACATCTCAGGCATCAGGCTACAACGTCCAGCAGATTGGATGATTTCTGGTATTGTTGCTACAGATTTGTTACCTCACAGGTGGTTTTGTTAAGTAATTACAACTCAAAATAAACCATAGACACTAGAGGGTGGTTGAGTATGGAGGTATAATCCAATCACCTTGTATCTGTTTGTCATCACTATGCAGAGGAGAGTTTCCGCTCATTACAGGAACACAATAGAGATTTCCCAAGGTTTTCCATCTATCCAATTCCTTTTTCCCCATTTAGTTAATGGGAAAGTGAAGGCATCTCACACAACAGTCATTTAAGTCTATGTTGCACATTTACCAATGCTTAAATCTATAGTCCTTTGTTTTATATCTGATTTAGGAGTGCAGTATTTGGTGATAGGATGATGTCAACAGATATAGTGAAAAGTCTCAGTCATAACTTGTTATGGTGTATTCTGCAGCCGGGCTGGTGGTGCTTCTAGAGCTGCACTGAGTCCTTATTAGATGAGTCTCTCCAGGGGAGGCGGTTGAACAATATTCCACATCTCTACTCGAGATCCTTCTTTCTCCTGTCTGCTCGGGCTGTAATTTCCTTGGTTTGATCTCATGCTAGCCACAGCAATGAATATGCATAGACCTGCACACACAGCGAAAAAGAGTGCCAGAACCACAGATGCCACAGCAGTAAAAACTCCTGGAGGCAGGAAATCTGATAACTGGAGGAGAAACGCAAACAGTTAAAAGTAAAATAACTTTTTATTCTAGATGATGAACATTTAGTTTCCTGCCTAAGCCATGTTCTGATAGGATCTTCTAAAAGTGTAACTGTGGGCAGGCTGTGGTAGTACTAAATGAGCTTTAAAGTGTATATAAACCCTAACATAAAATATGAGATAGGAGATAAGTGTATTTCTGCCAGCAGGTATTTTTCTGTATGTATGCATTGTCTATAAAGTGGAACTAAACCCACCCATTTAACTGTTTCCCCAGAGAGCTTCATGGAATAGCTTTCAGTGGAACTATCAAGTCATCAAATGGTTAGTATCAGAGATGGACATGTCTGCAGTACCATGGCAAATGCAGATCAGAAGCCAGGATGGTAGCTTCTTTGGCTGTAAAGCATAGGAGGGTTTAGTTTCACTTTAAAGTGTTACTAAACCCCGGACCCTGCATCCACTATATCTGGTCTCCAACAGTACACACAACAATGGAAATGCAAATATTTTACTAAATATGAACGGCTAAATACCTTTTCTCATCAGAGGTTAGAGTAGTCTTGTGACTTCAGCTGAGCACTGGTTAAAGCTTGTAGGAGGCGTTTTCTTTCTGCTTTAGGAGGATGTAAAATCCCTGACCTCTGTCTTGATTGGCCCTTTGCTGATCACATGCACTCTCCCAAGGAAAAAAAAACCTCTCTAGCAATACACAGTAAACTGAGCATGTGCAGAAGGGCACGGGTTTAGTCTGTCTTATTACTGTGGACATTTGAGCAAGAGGAGGGGCAGAGAAGTCAGGTTCAAACAGCCTTTTTACACAATGCAGAGGATTAACCCCTTAGGTTCCACAGTGAGTATAACCAGCATGCTTTACTGAATATACAGACTGATTTTACTGTTGTGAGTTTAGTAACACTTTAAGGCCCCATTTGAAACTTACAAATGGGGCCATTAGTGATTACATATGGGAGACTCAGCATGGGTTTCTAGTGATTAGCTGCAGGTGGCAGATCCATTAAAAGCAATGGGAGGCTGACCGCTCCCACAGCTAATCACGGCCACTTGTATGTAATCGCTCAATATTGAATTTCCATATCCTGGCCACAGGTCCACTTTAATTTGCATCAGAAGATGCTCAGCTGCTAAGGTATTTCATTGGTGGATCAATGTAGGGTCTACTAGTTGTAAATTCTCAAGCTACAATAATTTCCATTGGAAAGAGAAGGAGGTATAGTGGGAAAGAGCATAGTTAGCCAACATTCGAGAATAATTAGGAGGGTTCACGTAGAATGGTGAGTGAAGCATGGGGGCCAATTTGGGAAAGGAAAAAAGTAGGTGAGACCAATAAAGGTTTGCCTTCACAGTGTATGGCTTGTAGTGTTGAATTTTGTATCCTTTGCTTTCCTATGTGTTAGACAAAGAGGGCCTGAGGGGGTTACTGAAGAGAAAATTAAAGTACAATTAATTCCATACTTGGTGTCAGTGGAGGTAAACAATAAACCCCATTGTGGCTAGGGATAAAATAAGTTCCACCACTGGTATCAGTGGGATTAAAAAAAATCCCCATCAAGTGTCAGGGCTTATTTTCACTATTCTCCCCAAAACCCTGGTGATTGAGGTGCAGTGCACTTCACAATGCACTTCTACTCATGGTGAAGACGGGCAGGAGTATAGGAGTAGTATCCTTGTGTATTCCATACTTGGTAGTAATGTGTTCTCCTCTAGGCTCCATTGGAAGATCAGGAAAGCAGAGTAGTGCAGGAAAGGTAAGAACAGACACCTTATAGTGCCTGCTGTGTTGTGCGCTTTTCATCTTATCTGAGTGAATAACAGGTTTTCTTTATATTAAATCTAAAGTCAAACATGTTTTTTTTTACATTTTATATGAGGAGTGAAATATTTTCTAGGAGTTTTATCAATTCCCATTTCTGTCAAAAATTATTTAAAAAAATATTTAAAGAAAAAATATTTCAGTGGTGCATGCATTGATTATCTATATAACATTCCCAAAACAATATCTACTTAGAAATATTGATAATATCAATAATTGATATAGTGCATAAAATAAAAGTTCAAATAATTCAGTCCATCCAGTGATCACCACGTGAAAGAATAATAAAATCATAAAAAGAAATCATTCAACTCATCAAATAGTCACCATGTGAAAAAATGTGATATAAATCTCCAAGGCAAATAAATCTTCTTTCCAATACTCCACTCCTTGTGCAAGTGAAGTATTGGAAGGAAGATTTATTTGCCTTGGAGATCGGGAACAGTTATCCTAGGACTCCAGTACTACAGGTTGAAGGGAGAATTAGTTGGTCTGGTCCTTGGAGGATTATTTACCAAATTTTAGTGTGCCAACCATAAGAGTGGGAGGAAACACTGGTGAGTGCACACCTGAGAGGGGGGCACTACACAGATTTATATAAAAATTGTTTGCACAAGTATTCACGTGGTGATTATTCGATGAATTGAATGATTTATTTTTATGAATTATTCATGATTTTTTCACATGGTGATCACTGGATGGACTGAATTATTTGGACTTTTTAATGCATTATATAGATTATTGATATTATCAATATTTATAAGTATTGTTTTGGGAATGTTCTATAGATAATCAATGCATGACCACTGAAATATTTTTCTTTAAATATTTTTTTGCATGTGTTTAATAATTTAAACTGGTAGTGTGGTATATTGGAACACGGATATAATTACAAAAGAGATACATATTTTGAGGAATTTATATTAGGCAGTGGGGTATTTGGAACACGGTTATGATTTGAAAGTAATCTAAATTGAGGAATTTATATTTATTTAGTGTAGTTTTGGG